TCCAATGGCTTTTCCTTGAACGCTCGTTATGAAGCCCGATACCATTTGATTGTAACTCTCTAGACTCTTGAAAGCCTTGAACTGCCTTAAAGTATAGAAGCTGGTTTCCAGCACAAGATAAGAGAGAAGATCGGTGGCTTCGATCGGTGGCAGACATTCTGCATCTAACTTCTCACCTTGTAAACACACGGGGTCGACTCCAATACCTTCGATTTTTTTTAAATATCTCGTTCGAATGTGATTTTCAAGCTTTTTGGCGTATTCAGATAAGACAATTGAAGAGGTATCTTCAATTCTTTTCTGTTCTTGGGTTTCGTTTTTTGAAATATCGACGAGTAAATCCTCGGACATCGCATAATTYGAATCAAAACATAAGCGCACGTGTGTGATTTGACATATGCTAATGAGCTTCCTGTGCACCAATATGGCGGACACTAAGTTTTAATCCGCTCGTGACGTCACGTGAAAACCGAGAATTAGCACCTGTATCCTGTATTGATTGAATCCAAAAGTACACCAAAGGTAAGTATTTCACTGTAGACAGGTGTTAGTATATGGGGGTTGATGACCAACCACAGATTGAGTGATCATCTTCAAACAAAGCATGCTGCAACATGTATTGTGGATCTTGATAGCACGAAAGACAATGTTTATCAATAATACACCCTCTGATAGCAATCAATATCCACTGATGATAAAGAAAACTTATCTTGTAGCCTTTGGTACTCTGACATATCCCTACCAGACCTTGGTAAATTAATGATGGGTATTGTGGTAAATGATTGTGGTGAATTCTGCAGTGTCACACACTTGAGCACATACACACACATTGGGTGATACTAGACAATTTTCTCAGGGTTAAGTGCATATCCAACTTGCCGGAACCCAAAACTGGAAAATGGAAATTCAGTAAAATCGAGAAGCCAGTTGCATGATAATACTCATCATAAAGCTCAAGTTCTATTATCGTGGCCCGTCAAGTTCCTTAAATTTGGATGTGGACGCAATCTTGAGAAAATGGTCTATTAAACTACTACACAATTTGATAGGGTAACTAGAATTACACAAAGTAATTTTCATCTAGGCCCTTTCTAGATCGAATTAGGATTTAGACGTTGATTTTTTGTGGAGGGAGGAAAACTGGAGAACCCAGAAAAACCCTTGAAGCACAGGAGAAAACCAACAGACAACTCTACTCATGTACGACGAGTCCGAGAAACAAACCCAGGTTGCATTGGTGAGAGGCAAGTGCTCTCAGAGGTTCACCACCCTGGCTTCCCACTACTAACAGCTTAACAGCAATAAAAGGCATACAACATTATACTAATTGGTATTATCTAGTACCAATGAAACCACAAAGTAATATCAATTCTATTGGCTAAATATGTAAGTGGTTTTGTGTTGCACATAATTAATGTTCACAGTTTATAATTAATAGTTGCTTAGCTGTATAATTATATACTTGTAAATTCATGCCTCTTGGCTGTTGTTCACTCTTTTGACATCCCCTAAAAAACACAAAACCAAACAAATAAGCATATAATAACTCTTTAGCATTTTAAGTCTAAAATCGCTGTATTCAAGATGGTACATCTTGATGATAAACTGAAGCAGGATGAAACTACACTGCCTCCCAATGTCCTGTATTAGTAAATATTACCTGTAGTTTATTTACCCTTAAATTAAGACAAACAGTGTCTTAAGAGACGGTTTTGATTAAGCAAACAATCTGACATCTAAAAATAATAAATTATAAACTTTTGGATTAGAAATTATTATTTTGGTATGCAGAACAAAAATTGAGATCTCATCATATTCTAGATAAGCCTAAACCAAAAATTTTTCACTATAATGTGACTATTTTGTAAAGAAATTTATGAGTATTTTCAGAGGAAACAAAAAAGGTATTCAATAACAGCATTGTACAAAGATCCATAGTTATACAAAATCTTTACATTTTCAAATGAAAATAATACTTACAATGCATAAAATTTTATGTGATCAAAAATTGGAGAAAATGTTACATTTTTTGTTAGGGATGACATATGACAGGTGCAAAAAATTCTTTTTATGAGAAATAGCAAAAAGACTATAGTCATACATGGCTACCTTTTGGTTTAATTTCAAAGCAAATAAGATGCAAAAAAAAAAAAAAAACAAGACAAAACAAAACAAATCACTTATCACCCTGAGTGAGAAAACTAAAGAATTTTCCTAGTTTGATGAAAGAACCATGAATTCCTTTAATAACGATAGAAGTGTGTTTAAACCTTTTTTATCCTTTCTTGTTTGTGAGGTTTGCTGTGGTTGACAACTGGATTACAATATGCTTAAAGGATACTTTGACTAGTCATGATTTGTAAGCTGTTTTTATGTGCCTGAGTTATGATTTAAATTTTTAAAGTAAATTACTTGCATTAAAGTAAGACTATGCCCAACAAGGAGGCTACATCACAAAACAAGTAACATAACAAGTACTCTGAGAGTGAAACAAACTGGAAATTGCAATGGGCAGACTTTTATGGAGTAAGACATTCAAACCTGTTTTGTTGGATACCATTAGCATTTGAGTTAGCCATGATGCCCTTACGATAAACCCAAAAGCCGGTTTCTGGGTATCAATAAAATTTGAAGGCTTTGATTTGGCAAGCAACAGCATTAACCCATCAACAAACTGAAGTCAAAAATAATGTTAAAATTGAATGAGACCTTTTAATTGAACCACATTTTTTACCATCCAATCGTTGATGACGCAAATTCAAAATTTATTTTCCTTATATTCCTTATATTTTGATTCCATTATGTTTACTATTAGCTTTAAATGGGATAGTGCCAATTTATATTGTCAAAAATGGCTTATGACAAAATAGAAAATTTTTTAGAATTATTAGTATTTGTCAGTATCTTGTACATGTAAAAATCTGATAATGTGATCATCAATTCTCTCCTGTTCAGGTTTTTTGTGATGTTAATATACATAAAGCAATTAAACAGGTTTCTGTTTAGGTATACTTCTATTATTAACTATGCAAATGCCTTCCTGGTCTAAATGCTACAGATGTAATGCATTTGTAACATACCAGCAAATATGGATTACTCACAGGTTCTCTTGTGATGTACATATCAAAACATTTGGAAAACAAAAAAAGATCTTTGTAATCATTATCAATCTACATGCTTTCCTGATTTCATGCTCTTTTAACATACCAGCACTTATGGATTACTCAAAGGCACTCTTGCGATGTACATATCAAGACATTTGGCAAATGAAAAGGTATCTGTTGTGAACCCCATGGGATATCACTCCAAATCCTTTTCTGTAATGCAATTGTAACATACCAGCAAAGACATATTTATTCACAGTATCTACAAGTCAACCCTGATCATCCACCAATTGCTTTTTATCTAAAGAACAAGAAAGAAAGAAACATTTGTTCATTTTTTTACAGTTTTCACATCATGTAGAAATAAGGTACACCTCTACCTTGGGCCTATTTTTTGCCCATTTTAGACCACATGTAACTCCCTAGAGTACCATTTCTTTGTTTAACTCTTGTGCACAAGAACAACACACATCAGTATGGATACCACTCAAAGAAAGAATCTTACTTTCAAGGGTATTTCATGTAGCCTGGAATGGGAAAACATTATGGTGAAGGTAAAGACAGGGTTTGAGCAGAAAATTTGGCCATCAGGGACAGATTGCCCTCAGACAATTATAAAAAGGGACAAATTTAAATTTAGGGGGACATGTAACTGTAGTAACAATAAAGCAACACATAGATTTTCCATGAATTGTAGATGGGAATCATATTCTTTGGTGGCAATGTGTTCTTTTCCTTTTTGACATAATAACATGACTGGATACACTCGAACAGCTGTGCAAACCATGTGACTCATCCCAGGCTCCCTTCTGAATACTCTAAAAGATATTCCTCCCTCAATGGCTAAGCAAGGTACCCAAACACTCAGTAAATTGATTCAATAACAATCAGCTGTTTTTAAAATAATTTGGGAGACAAAAATTGAAATTGAAATAACATATAAATCATGTTTGACAGCTAAATTTAAATATTATGAATCCCACTTTATTCCATGTTTATTTGTTTGTTTTGGTTCGTTTTGTTAGTGGGGAGGGGTGGGGGAGTCCTGCAGTCGAGCATGTTTTTCATAGTACTTTCTGTACTACATCAAACTTCTTAAAATCACATGAAAACGAATAACTTCTATGAAGAATATTATAATCTAACTATTTAAGAAAAGAAACGACGACTTAATCACCAGAAATAGAAATTTTGAGAAGTTTTTTTCGGGCACGTGGGTTCACCGTGCTTCAAAACAGTCCTTCGCCATTTACATAAAAATGCGGGCGAAATGTCGAAATAAACCACTGCAATATTCGAAGAAACACATAAACATGATATTTCAAGGTCCATGTAGTGGTTTCCAACAGTTCTTACCGTTCAAACAGCGATATTTCCACATTTCACACCTTTGAACGTCCGCCATGTTTTTCTCGTTAGTATGATGACCGAAGGGTATTATGGGTCACGTGCATTTGTCACCAAGGATACGGCCTGGTAGATTTCACTTGCCTTTCTTCTTCTTTCTTTCTATTTTTCTTCAGAATAAAACATGTAAAATTCTTGAACATTTCTGGTAAATTTTAAAACAATTGTCTAGAAAAAGTAAAGAGATCCAAAAGTGCTTTACTCTTCTGCGAATCTTTAAGGCCATTAGTTTAATGGCACTCATTATCAAAAGCAAAAGCATCTATTATTTTTAGCAACTAGGCCTACAAGCTAGTTCAATCAATTCAAATGTGCTCAAGTGAACAGTCTTATCAGTTCATGCTATTTCAGTTAGTTTAGAAAACCGCGAGTGGTGGATCAAGGATTTTTTTTAAAAGAAGGGAGGTTCCAAGATCGCAAGATCTCTCAATGAAAGGGGGGTTCAATAGTACTGCTGCGGTCATAAGCCGGAGCTTGTAATACAATCGCTCCACTCCTCTTGCGTCTCGGGCTCGAATCCTGGACTAGTTTCCCAACACAGGTGGGTGGAGTTTGTTATGCCATGGACTTCTGTCGAAATATTATTGTGCACAGTGGCCTGCGTTATAGCGATAATCCAAGAGAGGGGAATGATGTATCACGTTTATCAACACCTGGAAAAAAATTATGTAAACGAAAAATCTTACTGTTTTTTTGGTATATTTTTGAAAATAAACCCTCGAGTCACGCAGGGATTTTCTGCTATTTCGGCATTCATGGAACTAACTGATAATTTCCTTTTCATTTTTGACTATTCGTGTCAAATAGAAAAATTAATTTTAGGAGGAGGCGTTCGACCTTCCTATCCTAATGACAAAATTCATGTCATTCACTTGTACGAAGCTAAGGCTATCACACACGCAACTTTACCAGCAGCCATGGATGATGCATACCAATGCAGCAGCGCAGTTACTGTACAGTCAATAGAGCAGTTACTGTACAGTCATTAGCGCAGTTACTGTAGAGTCAATAGCGCAGTTACTGTACAGTCAATAGAGCAGTTACTGTAAAGTCAATAGCGCAGTTACTGTA